AGCGTGAGATCAATTCTGTCAACGACAACCCACTCATTGATGTCTCCCGTGGCAAGGCGATACACGGTGGAAACTTCCAGGGGACACCTATTGGCGTCTCCATGGACAATACCCGCCTCGCAATCGCAGCAATTGGCAAGCTCATGTTCGCTCAGTTCTCCGAGCTTGTCAACGACCTTTACAATAATGGTCTACCATCAAACTTATCCGGTGGGCGCAACCCAAGCTTGGACTACGGGTTCAAGGGTGCCGAGATCGCCATGGCTTCTTACTGCTCGGAGCTGCAGTTCTTGGGCAACCCGGTGACCAATCACGTCCAGAGCGCTGAGCAGCACAACCAGGACGTCAACTCCCTTGGTCTCATCTCCTCCAGGAAAACTGCAGAGGCCATTGAAATCCTCAAGCTCATGTCCTCGACTTTCTTGGTTGCCCTCTGCCAGGCTATTGACCTGCGCCACATTGAGGAGAATGTCAAGAGCGCCATCAAAAGTTGTGTGTCGACGGTAGCAAAGAAGACACTAAGCACCAATTCCACCGGCGGCCTTCACGTAGCGCGCTTCTGCGGAAAAGACCTGCTACAGGAGATTGAGCGAGAGGCAGTGTTTGCCTACGCCGACGACCCTTGCAGCCCCAACTATCCACTGATGAAGAAGCTACGTGGTGTGCTTGTGGAGCGCGCCCTCTCCAATGGCATGGCCGAGTTTGATGCGGAGACCTCCGTGTTTGCAAAGGTTGCCTTATTTGAGGAGGAGCTACGCAAGACGCTGCCCCCAGCGGTTGAGGCTGCACGTGTTGCCGTAGAGAGTGGCACAGCTGAAATGCCCAACAGAATCACTGAGTGCCGCTCATACCCCCTCTACCGGTTTGTGCGTGAAGAGCTCGGAACTGTATACCTAACCGGTGAGAAGACACTATCACCTGGCGAGGAGCTTAACAAGGTGCTCGTGGCCATGAACCAAGGCAAGCACATCGATGCATTGCTTGAGTGCCTCAAGGAGTGGAACGGAGAACCCCTGCCCATCTGCTAAACTGAGAACATACAAGCAGAAGATAAGAGGACACGGAGAAGGTGGTTTCTCAGATTTCCGACGACAAGTGAATAGTGATACATTTAGCGAAGCAGAATGTTTTTCTCTTTCATGTTTCTTGTATGCAAAGCTGCAATAAATTTTTTTGCCTTGAGGCCTTTTAGGCTGCTAAAACAATTTTGACTGTAATTTTTGAAGTATCGCGAATTATATTCCGTAGTACTTTCAACATTCTATATGCATGGTTTAAGAACTTTCAAGTAGGACAATGAAAAGTACTACTCTCTCCATCCCAAAATAAGTATCTTAACCTTAGTATAACTTTATACTAAAGTTAGTGCAAAATTAAAACACTTATTTTGGGACGGAAGGAGTATAAGCTAAGCCCCCAGGTAGCACTTTTTTAGCCGAAACCGTAGAACAATCGTTTTGTGGTATTTTCATTACATAAATTAAGTACATGGAGTTAAAAATTGATCAACCAATACCAGTTTTAGGAAACATAATAGCTAAAATGTTTATATTACAAGTACTGAGCTATCCAGGTTCTGATCCTTTCTTTCTTGCTATGCTTTGCTCTGAGCTCCGCTGCCCACAAGCCTTCTTTGAGGTAATACTTCAATGTGTTCATATGAGGTGTTGTTGATCTGAATATTTTGTCATTCCTCACTGACCATATAATCCAACATCCCATGATAATGATATCCAAAGCAATTTCTTTTGAAAGATGAGATAGAGATAGGGTGATTTCATCATAGGTTGATATCCCTCTTTATGTGTCAGGTATAAGAAAATCCCAACGTCTGAGTGCAAATGGGCAATTCCAGAATATATGTAGAAGTGTTTCCTCAGTTTTGTGTGAGCACAGAACACAATTGCAATCTTCCAGATACATGCTTTTACGTTGTAACAGATTCCTTGTGTTCACCCTATCATGTAATAGCATCCAGAAAAATATCTTCTGTCTGAGTCTGCATGAGGTGCTCCACAGATGCTTAAATATACTGTGAGAATTGTTTGCCCCAATGATTGCTTTGTACATTTTCATGGATGGATAATGTGTGGAGGTCCATGAATAAGTCCATATGTCTTGTGTATCATTTTCCTCTTTGTTGCCAATAAGGTCATTCTAGGAGTTGAATTGCTGATAAGCCTGCAGAGATAATGGTCTATGAAAGTGTTGACTGGTATATGCATGCTCAAGGATCTTTGACAGTGAGATGTCTCTGTTTATAGCAAAGGAGTGCAATTTAGGGTAAGTGAGAAGTAGTGGTTGCCCATACCAGCTATCTGACCAAAATAAGGCGGTGTCCCTCTGCCTACCTTACAAATAGCATGCTGCTTGAATTTGGGTAAAAGTTTAATGACTGATCTCCACCAAAAAGAGCCAACCATCTTATCCCCTAGCAATGAGTCATGGTAATGAGTTTCCAAGATGATGCTGACCCATGGAATGTCTTCTTTGTTGAGAAATTTATGCAAAAACTTCATAAGAAGTGCTTGATCTGTGGGTTTACAAACTTTCTCCCATGAGATTAGGGCAGCTCATGTCTCTAGAGCACCAAATTTTCTCCAGCAGCATTGTTTGGGTAGATGTTGATTTGGTTTACCACTATTTTTGGAATCAACAGAGAGCACATGAAGAATATAGGCATGCTGGTGAAGACAGACTTGATCAGGGTGAGCTTGTCTCATGAAGATAGCAGAGTTGAACAACTGAGTAATCTGTTTTCAATACTTTTCATCATGGGGACATAGTCTTCAGTCCTGGGCTTGGTGAGGCTGAGAGGAAGGCCAAGATAAGTGTGAGGCAAGGACCCAATCTTACACCCAATTAGAGTAGAAAGAGCATTCATCTTTGCTGCAGGAGTATTTATAGATATCATAGTGGATTTGGAATGATTCACTTTGAGTCCAGTGCAAACAGCAAAATATATAGAGCAGCAGATTTTTAATGTGTGCGAGTTGCTGGGCAGGTAGCGTTTAGCGTTTCGTAACTGGTCGTTCTTCTTTTCCTCCACCTGTAGTACTTTGAGCATTCTATATGGTTCAGTCAGCATTATGTGTCCAGCCTTGCTCCTATTTAACAAAAGGACAATTAGCATTTCCCCTACACACTCGATGTGATGGACAAGTCTCCATTACTATACATAACATCCCCTCACGATGCCGAAGCAGTCAGTAGTCGCCCTCATCTCATGTATGTTTATATGAAATTTTTTCGTATGGTCTGTTACAGCTAGGGCCTGGTGTCCGTTCGGTCCTGTTCTTCCGACCCATTCAGCAGACTTCTTCAATTCATAAATAGTAGAGTGGTACTGTATATGTTTTCAAGTGATGTTGAAGTTGTCAGCAGTCCATCAGGTTCTGATCTGAAGGGTGTACGTACGTCGGGGCTTCCTGCTGCGAGATTAAAGATATTTTCTTGAAACAGGAGAGATTGGTGCAAGAGATATGTATGCAATGATATGATCTGATCAAACTTAATGTGGGGGACCAGATAGCAATTGTTAACCAAGCTTAGTCGCCAAGCACGTTGGGTTTACCTGGCGGGTTGCTGAGCTGGTCACCACACCATGAGGGTTCGCTGGTACCAACCAGCCATAATAAACATAAATAAGAGCCCGGCTATGAATGGAAAACAACAATTTTGTGCCATTAAATGGATGATGATTCATCTGTACCTGCCCTGAACCGGCTAACCCCCCTTAAAATATTTGTCCATTTCGAAAGGGAGTAACATGGAATCTTCATGATTCAACTGCGTTTTTGTGATGGTCTGGTGAACGGGAGCAATTAATCATTGTATATCAGAACTTTGTATGCGCAAAAGCTTTTCTGAAATGCATGTCGCCATATTCTATCACGTGGTTAGGAACTTAGGATCATGGGGAAGAAGAAAAGCAGCCGTGCATGCCCTGAACTCTGAATCGCCTTTGCTTTCCTTGCACGCGCTCTTGTTGTTGGCAGCAGCAGGAATCAAATGCGGCAGCTTGACACTACGGCGTTGTTTTCAGTAGTAGTACTAGCTCGTTTTGAGCCCTTTTGCAGCAACCATGCCATGCGATGCGAGAGCCTAACTGCCCGATTTGGCTTTGCTCGACATAACCGGAAGCGACTGCCTGAACTGAACTCGCCTTGGGTCTGTACTTAGACAGTTCAGACTTCAGACTCTGATTTGGGTTTGGTCGACATAACCAGAAACGACTACCTGAAGTCGTCTTGGGTCTGTACTTGACAGTTCAGACTCTGAAAACTGCACAGAGAAGATCCGTCGCTTTGCAGCGTCTGGGTTCTCTCGAGATCTCCGACCGGCCTCGCGTGTAAACTGTAGGTAGAGACGGACGGACGGGCCAGGGCGACCGGACCAACTGACCGACCCAGCGACCGTGAGTGCCTGGGCAGAAGCCCACGTCCACACGCGAGCCGAGCCACCAACCCCACCAAACCCAGACCACCACAGGCCACCCACCACGCACCGCACCAACGCAACACACCTCCGTTCCGTCCCGGGCGCCGGGGCGGGCCCCGCATGCTGTAGTGCGAATGACACATGGGACCGGGTCCACTGAGATTGGACGGCAGCGAGGCGGCCACGCCCACGCGCGGGCGACGACCCGGCCGGCCAAGCCGAAGCCGAAGGCGGCCGTCGTGGCGCATGGTTGGCACGGCAGGTCCATCCAAGGGCGATCCCAGCCCAGAGAGTCAGCTCTCCAGCAACCAACCCGAGGAAAACAGTGAGCCCAACAACCCCCCACCCGCCGCCCCCGCGCTATTTAAGCGGCCCCTCCCCCCTCCGCCATTCTCCAAGAAGAGCTTAGCTTTCGGTTTCGCCTCAAGCTCTTCTTCCACCCATCCATCCATCTATCTATCCATCTATAAACGTACGCAATTAGTACTAGCAGTGGTAGCATCTGTCGTGCTTGTACTGCTCCCTGCATTGTTTTCGTTCCATCTGTTGTGTAACCTGCAATGGAGTGCGAGACCGGCCTCGTCGGCTCCCTCAACGGCGAGGGGCTCTGTATGTCGGCCCCCCGCGCCGACCCCCTCAACTGGGTGAAGACCGCCGAGGAGCTCACCGGGAGCCACCTCGAGGAGGTGAAGAAGATGGTGGCGCAGTTCCGCGAGCCGCTGGTCACCATCGAGGGCGCCTCCCTCGGGATCGCGCAGGTGGCCGCCGTGGCCGCGGGCGCCGGCGTCGCCAGGGTCGCGCTCGACGAGTCCGCCCGCGGCCGCGTCAAGGAGAGCAGCGACTGGGTCATGACCAGCATGATGAACGGCACCGACAGCTACGGCGTCACCACCGGCTTCGGGGCCACCTCCCACCGCCGCACCAAGGAGGGCGGCGCGCTCCAGAGAGAGCTCATCAGGTCAGGATCGGTTGCAGACCCAAAAGTTTTTTTTTCCTTCTGCTCGATTCATTTTTTTAGTGCTTTGAGTCATTAAGACGTGATAATATGACAGTAAGGAGCAGATTAAACAGTTTAGATTGCGCTGGATGCGCGCCCATGTGCCCTGTTCCGTCGTGCACACGGGATTCCCAAGCCCAAAAGGATTCTTTTCGTTTGGGGTTTCGGGGAGTAATTAGCTTTTTTTTTGAGGGGGAGTAATTAGCTAGGTCGTTGGTGGCACTACTACCCATCAACTAACTGAAACTTTTTCTAAACTAGATGATACCCCGCACGTTGTTGCGGGAATATTTGCAATACATTTCGATGGTATGTGATTTCTATGGAACATGAATAGTGATACTACGAAAACTAAAATTGCAAATTCATATGCTTTATTGTGTTTGATTAATGTATTGTAAAATATCTAATATATGGTTACATGTTGAGGTGGACATTTTCACGTGCATGAATGCATGTTGTGGTGGGCTTTTTGCTATGCATGTTGCTTGATGATGTGGCATGCTTGCATGTTGAGAGAAATATGTTAATGGGGCTGGCTATTTAGATATAGAAGATTAGGCCCCGCTCGCTGTACGAATTATCCTTTTACTCTAGAATTTGAATAAAATTCAACAGTACTAGTAGTATAATTTACTTTGTGCAGACCTCAAGTATTTATTCCCTAGTAGTATACTCTGTTTCCCTACTGAAGTAGCAACACGATCCCTTGAACCAATGATGACAGCCAATGAGCCAAGTAGCACGAGCAATTCGGTGAACCTGCACCACACCACCAGATCTGTTCAGGATCTAGAGCACTTGGTACATCTTAATCGCAGCAGGCAGCACCGATGTGGGCGTGCCCGCCTAATCACTCCGCGAAACAAAGTGGCAGCGACAGCTCGGTGGGCACGGAGAGCCCGCCCACCCCAGGGTTGCAGTGCGGGGCTCTCGCCGCCGTGGTCCACCATTACTCGCTTCGCTTGTCTCTTTTCGCGGCAAGAAGAAAGAAGATCCAACCATCATTCCCTTCTTCACCGACAGCCCGGGGGCTCGGGTTGGATGTCAATTTTGACTCCACCGGAGCAAAGCTTTTTGTTCGGCGCCAGGTTGGTGGTGGGTTAGCTGGGCTGGCTGGCTCGCTGGCTGGAGCCGTGTCTGTCATGCATGCGCACCGCGTAGTTTTATCAATCACACGTACAAGACGTGGGTGGGAGTGGCTGGTTCGGAGAACGTCGCACGCAAGCCAGGTTAGGTGGGGCGTTGTTGTGCTTGCAGCTCTGCTCCAGCTCTCGTCGGGTGAGTCATGGTTGAGAAGTTTCTCAGGACTTTTGCAGATAAGGCTCCAAAGTCCAAACCATGTCTCGGTGTCCTTTTTCTTATGCACGATAGTTGAATTTTAATATGTCCAGCTGAACGTGGGAGTGGTCAAGTGGCAAGCATGGGCACAGACTAGTACTACTACTAAAGTTGTATTTTATTTCCACCGACGGCCACTTCTCTGCATACCTGTCGCTATACGTGCCGAAAAGACGCGCACATCTGACTGACCTGGTGCACCTTGCCATGGGGAACATGGGCTGAGCAACAATTTTCAGAAAAAGAAAAATATATTAAGCAACAATAACTTATTCCAGACTCGGCACAACACTTTTTATTTTGAGGGAAGACTCGGCACAACACTTCACTGCCATGCGCTAGCAGTCTAGTGCTGTACACGACGGGAAAAAGACAAGCAACAAGCATAACTAATCATACGACCATTTCTTGATCGTGCCATTTTGTTACCAGCAGCAGCACAAGTTTTGCGCCAAGTGCAGAGTCGGCAATGACACTACAGGAAACTGACCCGTTTGCTCCCCTCTGTTTGACAGGTTCCTTAACGCCGGTGCCTTCGGAACTGGCACGGACGGACACGTTCTGCCCGCCGAGGCAACACGCGCGGCTATGCTCGTCCGCATCAACACCCTCCTCCAGGGTTACTCGGGCATCCGCTTCGAGATCCTCGAGGCCATCACCAAGCTGCTCAACGCCAATGTCACGCCGTGCTTGCCGCTCCGGGGCACCATCACTGCATCCGGTGACCTTGTGCCGCTGTCCTACATTGCCGGCCTTATCACCGGCCGACAGAACTCTGTTGCGGTGGCCCCTGATGGCAGCAAGGTGACCGCTGCCGAGGCATTCAAGATCGCCGGGATCGAGCACGGGTTCTTTGAGCTGCAGCCCAAGGAGGGCCTTGCCATGGTGAACGGCACGGCTGTGGGCTCTGGTCTTGCATCGACCGTGCTCTTTGAGGCCAATGTTCTGTCCGTCCTTGCTGAGGTCTTGTCTGCGGTGTTCTGCGAGGTGATGAACGGCAAGCCGGAGTTCACTGACCACCTGACCCACAAGCTGAAGCACCACCCTGGACAGATTGAAGCAGCTGCAATCATGGAGCACATCTTGGAGGGAAGCTCATACATGAAGCAGGCAAAGAAGCTTGGCGAGCTCGACCCCTTGATGAAGCCGAAGCAGGACCGGTATGCCCTCCGCACTTCGCCTCAGTGGCTCGGCCCACAAATCGAAGTTATTCGATTTGCCACCAAGTCGATTGAGCGTGAGATCAACTCTGTCAACGACAACCCGCTCATCGACGTCTCCCGTGGCAAGGCCATCCACGGTGGCAACTTCCAAGGCACCCCCATTGGTGTCTCCATGGACAACACCCGCCTCGCCATTGCTGCTATTGGCAAGCTGATGTTCGCGCAGTTCTCGGAGCTCGTGAACGACTTCTACAACAATGGCCTGCCTTCCAACCTGTCCGGTGGGCGCAACCCGAGCTTGGACTATGGTTTCAAGGGCGCCGAGATCGCCATGGCCTCGTACTGCTCTGAGCTGCAGTTCTTGGGCAACCCGGTGACTAACCATGTCCAGAGCGCGGAGCAGCACAACCAGGATGTGAACTCACTTGGTCTGATCTCATCCAGGAAGACCGCCGAGGCTATTGACATCTTGAAGATCATGTCTTCCACGTTCCTGGTGGCTCTGTGCCAGGCCATTGACCTTCGCCACATTGAGGAGAACATGAAGACAGCGGTGAGGAACTGCGTGATGCAGGTGGCCAAGAAGACCCTGAGCATGAACAACATGGGCGGCCTCCACATCGCCCGCTTCTGCGAGAAGGATCTGCTGACCGCGATCGACCGCGAGGCGGTGTTCGCGTACGCGGACGACCCGTGCAGCCCCAACTACCCGCTGATGCAGAAGCTGCGGGCGGTGCTGGTGGAGCACGCGCTGGCCAACGGCGACGGCGAGCGCGCCCTGGAGACCTCCATCTTCGCCAAGGTGGCGGAGTTCGAGCAGAACATCCGCGCGGTGCTGCCCAAGGAGGTGGAGGCCGCGCGCGCGTCCGTGGAGAACGGCACGCCGCTGGCTCCCAACCGGATCAAGGACTGCCGCTCCTACCCGCTGTACCAGTTCGTGCGCGAGGTGTGCGGCACCGAGTACCTGACCGGCGAGAAGACGCGGTCGCCCGGGGAGGAGCTGAACAAGGTGCTGGTGGCCATGAACGAGCGCAAGCACATCGACCCGCTGCTGGAGTGCCTCAAGGAGTGGAACGGCGAGCCCCTGCCGCTCTGCTGAGCAGCCGACGAGACAAGGTAACACCAAAGGAAAAGAAAACACGTACACACAAAGTGAATATAGAAGTGGTTCAAGACTGTGAAGCGGGAGGTTCCTGGTATATCTACGTTTCATTGTACTTAGTTAAGTTGATACTACTGTTGTTTTTTCTCGCTGCCGCCATGCCATGAGCAGGCGAGGCAGGCAGCTTCTCAAACTTGTGTTGTTGTAACTTGTATGATGGGAGCTTAAGTACATTACTTTGTTTCATAATACACCGTGTTATCGCCTTTGTTTCTTAATGATGGACACTGGCAGTTTTGCATTGTGGGTCGAAGAGTGGGTTTCGTTCCTTGATCTTGTCACGTACCGTTCTCGAACTGTCGGTGCCTCTCTGCCCCCCAGTGCAAGAGACGTGCCCATGTGTTCAGTTGAAATAGCTGCAGCTGCTGGTGGCCCGTGGCCATCCGTTCAACGACTATCCTAGGTTACGTGCGAATTCAGACTTTCAGAGTCACAGTCGTCCTCCGGAAAACGAGTTGAGAGAACAACTTCGCTGTTGGATCCACTGAATCAGAGTGATTTTTCTTGTTGAATGTTGATCAGTGGCGTCCTACTGTCCACCAGCATTTAGTTAGACCTTTGATTTGAAGGGAAAAGACAGCCCCCCTACATGGTATATGATCTACTTTAAACAGGGAAGGTTTCACGTCCCAGACATGGCCATGTGATGTGATGGCTCATCTTGAGGAGCGCGAAAGTACCGTGGGCGGGCAGAAAATTGATTTGAATTAGTTCAGGCGTCAACATGCCTTGTTCGTTTGCACCAGCACCACACCACCCATTTGGTGTACAGCTGATGAGCAATCGTTCGCAACGGTTAGGAGTACTATATGACAGCTAATATCTCGATGCAGCCAAGCTGTTGGCGCTCTTGCTTGCAGCACCAAAGATTGCTACGCATGCTAAACAGTCAAATGCAATCACATCACACCCGAAAAACTTTGTTCGTACTGCTGGTCCATTTGGTGGTCGTTGATAAGAGATGTTTATATTGACGCGCTCCACGGGCGATGAACGGTAGAGCTTGTCATTCATTAGCCCATGAGGCCATGACGAATACTTCCTCCTTTCTGGTTTATAGGACTTATTTTAAAATTTTAATTTTTTCATTTTATAAGGCTTAATTTGGTTGTTCTCCATCACATGTTCAGACTTCAAGGTGCATTAAATCATTGCATGCAAGTATTAAGAGAAAACTGATCAATGCATGCATTGCAATTAATGCATTTGTAAACATAATTTTTTGAGGAAAACAAGAGCATTAATTGGATGCTTTTGCAAACTACAAAAAATATTCCACCACTCATCATCTATCTTGGTTGATGAGATTTTTGAATTGAGCCTTATAAACCGGAAAGGAGGGAGTACGTACACCGGTGCTGTTCCTCTGTGGCGAAATTTGCCGAATCAAAGAGGATCGGGGCAATGCACCGAGAGTTGGACCCTCCTCTTCATCGTTGCCGGCGAACGCTATGAGACGGTCCATCCAGTGGCAACGGCTGCTAGGTGCTATTGTGAGCTGTGGCTCACACGGCAATCGACAGCGAGATGGTGGTGCTGCAGTGATCGGAACCAGTCGTGATGGCGTCTCTTCTTTGATCGGCTAGTTTTGTGTGAGCGAGTTGGTATCGCTTCGGGTGAAAACACATGATCTTGCCTCGACGTCAATATGTTGTTTATCTTGTAGAAGATGTTGCTTCGAAAGATTTGTTCCCAAGTGCTAATCCCCGTCCGACATCTGGTTGGATTAGACAACATTGACTTGTGAGCGAGAGTGTTGCGCCCTTTGTTTGCTAATACTCCAAGAGGCATTAACTATGTGGATGGCCATGAATTCTTAAACCAGTTTATTTGGCATTATCAATAATGAATGATGTATGGATGCATGCTTCAGTATAACCTAGGGGCTAGGGAGTATAATCCTTTTGAGAGATTTTTTTAGATGATCTGGCGGTAAGACAATTCAATTGAATTATACGTTAATGCGGGATTAATCTTTGTTCTCTAACAGGTAATTATGGTCGGTTATTTTATTTTGATTTTATCCATGTTGGCTTGTGTTTTAATTATGTTTTGGCGGTGTTTTTTCATTCGTATCGTATTGTGCTGGTGTTGGAGATGATTTTTTTTTTGAATTTTCATGGGGGGGGGGGGAGAGGATCCCCCACTTGAATATATTGATCACTGTGGGCTAAACTCCCAGATAGTTACAAACACCAACTTTACATGAGGGGCGAGGATAGCATCACGTAGGCAATGCCGAGAACGCACACACCCATCCCTCTACGTGCGATTGACGAGCTTCAGACAGCCGATCACGCCAGAGGACCGCGTCCTCCCTACAGCAGCAAAGCAGGTGAGCAAGGGACGGCGGCATGCGTTGAAAAACAACCGCGTTCCGGTGTTTCCAAAGCTGCCAGCAGCTCGGCAAGGCGAACTCGACCTCCGACTCAACACTTGCCGCCATCGCAGCAGCAAGGACGCCGAGCTTGCAGACCGTAGCACCATCGACCACGACCTGGACATGCCTCCAGAACGCCACCGCGAACGGGCAGGAGAAGAGCATGTGGTCAGCAGTTTCCAGAGCAGCAGAGCAGAGTGGACAGCCGGCATCCTCAGCATCAACAATGTGCTTTCGAAGCAGGACATCCCTCGTGTGGACGCATCGTTGCACCAGCAGCCAGCAGAAAAACTTCACCCGCGAGGGCGCGCTCGCTTCCCAGATCATGGAGGCGAAGCCCGCAGTCACCCCGCCAAACCGCAACAGCCTGTACGCGGAGGTGGACGACAGGGCGCCTTTGGGGGCGGCGGCGTGCAGAAGTCACCTCTCACCCCCCCCCCGTCCCTTGTAGGCAGCGCGGCCAGGAGCGCCGCAACCACCGCGAGCTTGCGCTCACCCACCCTTGTTAGCCGAGGCACCAGGCAGCGGGCGAGCCCACGTGCACGCACCTGCCCGACCGTCGCCTCCGCATCCAGGGCGTGGGAGAAGAGGGCCGGGTACGCCGCCGCGACAGCCCCGCAAGGCAGCCAACGATCCCACCAGAAGGAACATGTGTTCCCGTCCCCGACGTCGACAACAGAGATGGCACGGTAGAGAGGGAGTAACTTCACGACCGCGGCCCGGTGCTCACCAAGGGCCAGTTCGCCGCGAGCAAGGAGGGAGCGTCCACCAGCCCCGCCCCAAATCCAGGCTGCCCACCAAGAGCTGGGGGTCGTGTGAAGGCGATGCAGCATCTTGAGCAGCAGGCACAAGTTTTGAGTTGCCAGGTCGCGGATTCCCAGCCCGCCTTCGCTCTTCGCCCGGCAAACGCGCTCCCAAGCAACAAGGCATTGGGCGCCCGGGGCTCGTTCGGCGACGTTCCATAGGAAGGCGCGGCGCAGCCCGTCCAACGCGCGCACCACGGCATGCGGCAGCAGCAACGCAGCCATGGCATATGTAGGGAGCGCGTCCAGGACAGCGTCAATGAGCACCAGACGCCCCGCAGGGGAGAGAAGGCGAGCCGCCCAGCCGGCGAGATATCTGTCCACCTTCGCAATCAGCGGAAGGAAATCCGCGAATCGCAGTTTCTCCCATGAGAGAGGGAGGCCGAGGTACGTCTGCGGGAACGACCCCATGGCGCAGCTCAGAGCGGCCACCGCGCGGGCCAGAGCCTCCTCCTCCACATGCACCGGCACCAGGGTGCTTTTGGTGAAGTTGATGATCAGCCCCGTGGCGGCGGCGAATTGATCGAGAATTTGCCGGAGACGGACCGCGCCGTCCTTGTCCGCCCGCGCGATGATCAGCGTGTCATCGGCGTACTGCAGCACCACCGCAGGCGCGCCCGGAAGGAGGGGGTGGCGAAGCACATCATCCTGGCGGATCAGCCGTTGGAGCACGTCGTTGACGATGAGGAAGAGGTAGGGGGAGATGGGGTCCCCCTGCCTGAGGCCGCAGCGCACCCGGAACCATCGCCCTGGCACCCTGTTCAACAAGACCGCCGAGCTCAAGGAGTGGAAGAGGGCATCCATCCAGTCGCACCAGAGCGACGGGAACCCCCTGGCCTCCATCACAGCGCGCAAGCTCGCCCAGTTGATGGAGTCGAACGCCTTGGCGAAGTCAAGTTTGAGGACCATCGTAGGGGCCCGGCGACGATGGCAGCATTGCACCATCTCCGTGGCATAGATGAAGTTTTCGGAGATGCTCCGCCCCCGCACAAAGCCGGACTGATCTTCATCGATCAGGAGAGGAATTTGCCGTTGAAGACACGAGGTAAGCCCACGACACAAGATCTTGATATCACCGTTTTGGAGCGAGACGGGGCGAAAGGAGGCAGGGGACGGCACACCGCTCCCTTTGGGCAGCAGAGCGATGTAGGCCCAATTGATCCCGTCGAGGGCAGTGACGCCGTTGTGGAACTCGTCGAAGAGGCGAAGAAGATCTGGCGCCACCACGCCCCAGGCCGCCTGGTAGAACGCTGGGCCCAGGCCATCCGGGCCAGGGGCGCTGGTGCGGTCCAGGGCGTGCACCGCCGCCTTGACCTCGACCTGCTCGAAAGGGGCCACAAGAGCAGGCCTGTCCACAGAGGGGGCACCGGCGTAGAGGGCCGCCAGGGCGAAATGCCAGACGGGCTCCATGGACCGGCCCAGCAGCGTCATGTAGAAAGCACGCACGGCCGCGGCCTTCCCTGCATGGTCTAGCACCGGCACCCCTTCGACTTCCAGGGCCGCGATGCGGTTGCGTCATCGACGGTGCGAAGCAGAGGCGTGGAAGAACTTGGTGTTCTCGTCCCCCTCACACACCGCGCGACGTTTGCCACGCTGCTGCCAGTGCGCACACTGCCGACGAACGGACGCGGCGAGAGCCAGGCGGGCGTCGCGGCGGAGAGCGCTCTCATCTGTGGAAAGAGCACGGTTTTCTTCCAGGAAGTCAAACAGGTCAATAATGAAACGACAATCATTATCAAAAGTGGGAATGAACCGGCGCTGTTTTTTCCCAAACCTTGGCAGCAAACCTGAATGCTTTCTTCCTAGCCGCGAGGATCCCACCTGCACCCGTAGCACGCACCGGAGCAGACCAGGATGGCAGAGTGGTAGGGAGGAAGGCGGGTCCTGGAGCCAGCTCGTTTCAAAGAAGAACCGTGAGGGGTTC